TTTTCTAGACAGTTACTTTCTATTGAGCCCTTGGTATCAGCTCCTCTTTTTCCTGTCCCTCCCCCCAACCTCGTGACCCCTTGAGAGATTATAAATTATTATTTTCATATCTCACCCCATCACTGTCTTCCTTCCCCCATGGTTTCTGTTGTTCTTCCCCCTGGAGGGGTGTGTGTGGTTGTGTGTCATTGTGATTGGTTCCCCCTTCTCCCCCTCTCCCCCTTGTCCCTACCCTTCTGGTATTGCGATTCCCATCCTGCTCCTGAGTTGCCTCTGTCGTGAACTCTTATCTCCTATCTCTACATGTGTACATGCTCCGGTCTAGTCCACAGTGAGAGGCATCACTGGGGTCATGGTAGTTGGGGGTGAGGAAACCTCAAGGAACCAGAAGTACATTGTGTGTTTCATCGGTGCTTTACTGCGGGGTTGACTCATCCCTTCCCTGTGACCCCTGTAGTGGGGACGTTCCATTGTCTCCAGATTGTTTCCATCTTTTTGTTATTATAGAAATGACTGCTCCAAGCATGGGTATATGGTATATCTGTTCTTGTTTTGTTCTATATTTAGGATATATATCAAGTAGAGAGATGGTAGGATCATATAGTATCTCTGTTTGTATTTAAGGAAGTGCCATACTCTTTTCCATAGTGGTTGTACAATTCTACAATCCTACCAGCGATGTATTAGTATTCCAATCTCTCCGCATCCTCTCTAGTTTTCTTTCTTTTTTGTGCTGAGTGTCAATGTGAGATGGTATCTCATAAGTTTTAGTGTGTATTTCTCTTATAGATAGTGATTGCAAGCATTTCTTCATATGATGGTCTCTTGGATGGCATCTTCAGTAAGTTGTCTATTCATGTCTTGTACCCATTTTTTGATTCGGTTATTTGTTTTTCTTATTAAGGTGTTGTCGTTTTCTTTTTTTTTAATTTTTAAAAATTTTTTGGTGTTGTAGTTTTCTATAAATTTTTGAAATTAACCCTTTATCTGCTATATCATCGCCAAATATTTTTTTTCACAATTTTTGGGTTATCTTTTCACTCTTTTGATGTACCTAAGTGCTATATTTTGGCAAGTCTCAATCCTTTACTTTGCCTTCGGTAGTGTGGGTGTTTTTTCATTATGTTCAGTAGTGCATTTATGCCTTCTATGTCCCTTAAGTTTCTACTTACTTTTTCATTTATGATTGTTATCGTCCTGGGGTTTATATTTAAGTCTTTAATCTATCGAGTTCATTTTTGTCCATGTTGTGAGATATGGGTCCTGTCTCATTCTTTGGTAGGTGGCCATCCAGTTTTTTCAGCACCATTCATTGTAGAAGTTTGGTCTTTCTGATTTAATGTGTTTTAGTTCCTTATCAAAAACCAGGCATCTGTAAGTGCTTGGTTGTATATCTGGATTCTCTGTTCTAATCCATTGGTCTAGATATCTGTCACTATTCCAATACCAAGCTGGTTTTATTACTGTAGCTGTAAAACAGGTTTTGAAACCAGGGAGTGAGAGGCCTTCTAGTTTATTTTTTTAATAGTGCTTTTCCTGGGTTTGTTTTCTTGCCACATGAAGTTGGTGATTAGTGTTACCATTTCTTTGAAGAATTATGCTTTGACTTGGATTGGAATTGCATTGAATATACATATTGACATTTTCACTATATTGAGCCTTCCTGTTAATGAGCACGGGAGACTCTTCCATTTATGTGTCTTTGGTTTCTTGCATAAGTGTTTAATAGTTTTCTTTATACAAGTCTTTTGTTTCTCTGATGAGACTTATTTCCTAGGTATTTTATCTTTTGGGTGGTTATTGTAAATGGTATTTTTTAAAATTTCCTTTTCAGAGGCCTGTTCATTAATGCACATGAATCCAATTGATTTTTGTATGTTGATTTTATAGCCTGCTACATTGCTAAATTTTTCAATTAGTTCCAACAATGCTTTTATTTGAGTCTTTAGGTCTTTCTCTATATAGGATTATATTATCTGTGAGATAATTTTGCTTCTTTATTGCCAATTTCGATCCCTTTCCTATCTTTTAGGCATCCCAAAGTCTTACTGCTCTGGCTGACTTCCGGGACTGTAGTAAATAAGAGGAGTGGAAAAGAGGACCCTGTCTGGTTCCTGTTCAGAGAGGGAAGGTTTTCAAGTTTTCTGTTTACTTTAATGAGAGTTTTCTTTTGTTTTGAAAATAATAAGACCACTGCTTGATTACAATTTTACATTTCATATGTAGTTGTTACCTTACGGAACATAATTCATTTCCTTGATTTTTTTAATCCATACGCACTGCCATTGAGTCAATGCCAACTCATAAGAACCCTATAGGATGGGGTAGAACTGCCTTTGTGAGTTTCTGAGACTAATTATTTACGGATTAAAAAACCCTACTTTTCTCCCATGGAGTAGCTGGTGGTTTGGAACTATTCATCTTGCGGACCACAGACCAATGCATAACTACTGTACCACCAGAGCTCCTGTTATGTTAGCCATAGATTTTGTATTTCAGACTGTTTTAATAAATTTGAAAAGCACAATTGTTAGGTAGAAGATTGACTAGAAACTCTGACTTTGTACTATTCTATAGCAATGAAAGTATGAGTATAGAGCTTGCTTTAGTTGGCACTAAGTTTTCAGTGGAACCACTGATATAGTTCTTTAAGAACCAAGGTTGGCCCTTAATGCCAGAGAGACCACCAAAAAAGAAACCTACAGCCCAGTATCCTTTGTGAATGTAAATTTTAAAAATCCTCGACAGAATGCTACCTAACTCAATTGAACATTGTATTAAAAGGATCACTGTATTTTACTTACCACCTGCTCCTGTCTTGTGAGATATTTTCATAAGCATGTTACACTAATTTTTCACAACAACATACACGTGGCATTTTATCATAGGAATCCAAAGGTGCTTCAACATTAGGAAATCAATTGCTACAGCTTATTCCATTAATGAAGTGAGAATAAAGAACCACATAATCATCAAGAGAGAAGAGGCATTTGATGAAATCCAACACCATTCATAATAAAAATACCCAGCAAACTAGCAGTGGAAGATAAATTTTTCCATAATAAAGGGTATTTGTGAAAAACAGCAAATATCAAACTTAATGGTGAAAGGCTGAGTGCTTTCCCTTTAAGATCAGGATCAAGACAAATATGGTCACTCTGACCACTGCTACTCTGTACTGTAAAGTCTTTGTCAGAGCAATTAGGCAAGAAAATGAATGAAAAGTTATCTACATTGAGAAGGATTATCCCTTTTAAACAGATGAACTCCTATATATAGAAAACTCCAGTGTCTATAATAAACCTATTGGAGCTAACAAATTCAGCTAAGTAACAAGGTTGAAAGTCAATATATTAAAATTTTGTTGAGTTTCTATAAGCAATGAACATTCTGAAAGGGAAATTAAGAAAAATTATTCTATAATAGCACCTAAAAGAATATGATACCTGATGGCAACATATGTACAAATGTGCTTGACACAATGGATGGATGGATGGATGGATAGATGGATTGTGATAAGAGTTGTATGAGCCCCCAATAAAATGATTTTTTAAAAGAATATGAAACATAAAATCAGGGAGGTGAAAGACATATTACACTGAAAACTATAAAACATTGAAAGCCATAAATAAATGAGTAGACAGTTTGTGTTAATGGGCTGGAAGATGTAATATTTTTAAGATCTCAATACCACCCAAATTGATCTATAGATTCTGTGCTATAACTATCTAAATTCTTTTTTGCAGAAATTGGGAAGCCAGTCTTCAAATTTACTTAGAACTGTAAGGGTTCCTAAGAGCCAATCTAATCTTAAAGAAAAAAGAGAAACTAAAGTTGGAGGGATTCAAATGTCTTCATTTCAATATACAGACATATCTTTTGTGGAGCTTGCTTTATGCTTTGCAGATATCGTGCCTTTACAAATGGAAGATTTGTGGCAACCCTGTGTAGTCTTGGTGCTATATCCCCCAAATCATGTACTTGCTTTGTGTCTCTATGGGACACTTTTACAGTTCTCACAATATTTCAAGTTTTTTTCATAATGCTATTGCACATGATGAAATAATGAGGCGAGGGCAAGACCGGTGTTTGGCTCTGTTTTACATAGGGTTACTCTGAGTCAGGGCTGACTGAAGGCACCTAACAATAACATTGCACTAAAAAAGCCTACAGTCTAGTGTAAACATAACTTTCATGTGTCCTGGAAACAAAAAAATATTGTGCGACTCTATTGAGATATTCACTTTATTATGGTCTAGACCCGAACCCACAATATTTCCAAGGTATGTTTGTGCAAACTCCTGGCCGTGGAGTCAATGCTGATTCATAGGGACAACGCTCCTCACCCACCCCCCACTCCCATGACATTCTGAGACTGTAACTGTAACTACTAGGCCTCCTGGGCATCTAGCATAACAACTCTCTGCCTTGAAGTCAAGGCTGATTCACAGTGACCCACTGTGGGTTTCTGAGACTGTAACTGTTTCCAGGAGTAGAAAGCCCAGTCTGTCTCCCTCAGAGCTGCTGGTGGTTTCGAACTGCTGATCATCTGGATAGCAGCCCAAAGCGTAACCACTACACTACCAGGGTGGAAACAACTATTTGTCCACTGACGGATAAATGGATACACAAAATATAACTATATAATGGAGTATTATTCAGCCACGGAGACAAATGAAATTCTAATGCCGGCAGCATTTTGTAGGATGTGGAGAAAGATGGGTTTGAACGACCTGTGACTTTCAGCAAGTAATTTGATCATTCTGGAATCACAAGATGTCTATGGTCTGAGTTTTTTTCTCTCCAGAATGAGCTTTAGCGGAGAGCAGAAAGATGATGAAAATATTCTTTAAAAAGTACTTTATGATATGATTTGAGGTAGAAAAACTGGATTTATCACTTTAAAGGGATAGATAACACAAAATTTAATGAACCAGATAGTTCTAATGACAATGTTCTGAAAGTGTGATTTTCAAAGCTTGATTTTTTTTTCATTTTAGGAATTAGCTACAGAAGAGATTGATGCAGCTTTTCAATCAATATTATATGGAGAAAAATTTTTAACTGAGGTAAGAACTGATTATAGTGTATCTTAATTAAAAATTAAGTTCTTATTGCTTTTCCATTTCAGATAGAGTGCAGGCTCATAATAAACTTGGGGAATAAAGAAATAGAAGAAAAATCGCTCATTACCACTTGGGATAGTCTTACGGAATCTCTGGGATTACTTTAACTTACTTCCTTTCCACCTATACTCCCTGTGAATTTCTTCATAGATGTCTTACAAGACTTTTCTACTGGTTCCTTATCACACTGAGTATTCCATAGAGTAACTGTGAAGGAGCTAATAGCTCTGTAAGAGCTATTGGTAGAACATCCTGACTGCTAAAAGCACAAGGAGGCCACATCTGACCTCATAAGGGAGAAGGAGAATGCGGCTCAAGGCCATTGACACATGGCAGAGGTCAGACACGCCTCTATCCTCCATCTTTCTTTACCCTATTCTGACACCAAGTGTTTCTCCCACAGCGCTCTACTCTGCTGGGTTCAAGAATTCATTGCAATGGCCACACAAAACTCAGACAAACTCATAATCATGGGGGCTTATTAGGGAGATTAACAGGCTATTGCAAGTCAGGATCATTAAACAGTAAGGCTACAGCCATGTCTCTCTGGTCCTTAGCCTCTCACTAGCGGTTCTTTGGCTTCTGCTTCTATGGACTAGGAAGCTCACTTGGTCCTTCACTGGCTCATAGTCTCAGGTTTCAGGAACACAGCCCCTCTGCTCTCTCTAGGCATGGCTCCTTTGCTCTGTCTCATGGGCTTCATACTGAATTCAGCTTCTGGTGTTTCTGGTCTTGGCTTCTACCACTTTAGGCAGGAAATCTTAAACATGCTCTGCTGTTGGAGGCCTTTCCTTGATGGTGCCAGGATTCTCTCTGTTCCTGCTTTTTGGCTGCCTCCTTCTCATAAACAGGGGGATGACCTTGATGGAGGTGTGTTTTTTGTCTTTCAGCAGATCACATCCCTGACAAGATGGATTGACACGGTGGCTGCAATAATGGGCTCAAACGTAACAATTGTGAGGATGGTGCAGGACCGGGCGGTGTTTTGTTCTGTTGTACATATAGTCACTACTAGTCAGAACTGACTCCATGGTACCATACTCCCAATAACAACACACGCCCAAGGAAACAAAGGGCGGTGACTCACAATACATCCGACCTTACTCCTGTCATGAGCATTGCAAAGAATGTCGCCAAAATGGAATGATAACCACTAGAATTACAATACTCTACACAAGAGAGTATAGCTAGAAGGGCCATACTGAGTCATTGACTACATCTCACTGATCAGTAGGATATATATAGGCACAGTGGTTCAACAGTCCACTCTGTGGGAGGTGGCGAGGTGTTTCCCTCCTTAACGATTCACAGCCTTGCAAACCCTATATAGCAGTTCTGCTCTGTGCTACGGGGCCTCTGTGCCTTGGAGTGGACACACAGCCATGTGTTGACAAGAACAAGGCTTCAGTGCTAGCAGGATGGGCTTAATTAGACAAGAAGAATGTCGAGGCGACTTATACTGGGATGAATAACCTGCTTTTTAAAAAAAATCATTTTATTGGGGGCTCCTACAGCTCTTTTTTTTTCTTTCTGAGACCAGTTTATTTTTTTTAAAGAACTTTTCCTAGTGTGCAATAAACTGATGTCAGCAGGGGCGTAGCCTAGAGAACTTTAAGAGGTTCTTGATATTTTTTTCATTTTGATTTTTGTGTTGCTGTTGGTCGTAGGAATCACATGATTTTATTTTCTATATGAAAGGATGAGAAGTTTCAGTGAGAATGAATTTGTTTGCAGCCCAATTACAAGTCTTCTCTGCAGGTCACTTTCTTCTGCTTTTGTCCCCTCCCCCCTCCATGGAATGTTCTTCCTCCTCATGCTCTACCTCATTCTCTTCTGCCTAGATAAGTCCTCATATTTTGAGTCTTAGCACTAATATTTCCCACTCTTAGACTCTTCAAGACTCTATAAAGTACTAGATTCTTCTCTTTTCTTTCTTTTGAGGCTGTGGTCTTTTATTTATTTACTTTTTTATTAGGGGCTCATACAACTCTTATCACAATCCACAGATACATCAATTATGTAAAGCACATTAGTACATTCATTGCCCTCATCATTCTCCAACATTTGCTTTCCACTTAAGCCCCTGGCATCAAGTCCTC